AATTACTTACTGTTACTTTGCAATCTTATAATTCTATGTTTTTATATTTCATTTCAATAAAAGATTGTGAAGACGGAAAGAAAGATAAGATAGTCAATGATAAATGATTATAAAGACAGTGTACAGATATTTGCTTGATTTAATATATCAAGGTTAAAAGTTTGAATCTCTGTATGCTACTGTGAATACATGTCTCATTTCGAAATTTTTACATGAACAAATAATCTTATTTATGTACTTACGTCTCCTGTCCTGTAGATCACCGCTTTCGGCTCGTGCTATCGTTTAAACCATACCAGGTCTTCTGCTGTACTGGAAAAACAAATATAATTTTTTAAGTAATTTTTTATTATACATCAAAAGGTGGCAAACGAGCGAGCGGCCACCTGAAATCGCTGAAATAGCGAAGTAACCGTTGCCCATAGACATACGCAATTGCATATGCGTTGCCTACCTTAAATCGACGGAGGACAGGATGTACAGAAAGAAAATATATTCCCTTTCCATGCATCCTCTCATCCGGAAAGTCCACTTTTACTTCTCATCCTTTCCTTATAAAGAAAAGGATGGGAAGGGAAAGAGGACTAAATTAGGCCTCCGGGACGCACATCATCAGACGAAACGCGGAATTGCTTCCACTTCACGCCTGTCTTCTGTGTGGTCGTGGTATTTCACCGGGAGAGCCGGGCCAATTCGTGCGAAGATGTTAAAGCGGGCTCTACCACTGTTAAATGATTCTGCTAAAGGATGATATATCTCCTTACAAAATACTTTATACTCGCTTGCATAGTAACACAGATCTCGTAAATAATGCGGTGTAACAAATATATTTCTCTTCGTCTAACATTTCATGTCTCTAGCCAAGTTTGAAGTATGCATTGATATAAATGTCGGTCAGTATTCTTAAAAATTAATTATTCTAATAAGTACCCCAAATATTATCATTATTTGTACTCTTAAGTTCTACAGTATTAGTTCAATTCTTATAACAATCTTTTTGTTAAGAGTCAAATAAATACACAAATTGCTGTGGGGACAACGACAAAGTGAACGCTCTATTAGACTCACTTGAGCAGTTAATCTTAACTTAACTGTAGCTTAGCGTCTTAAAAGTTTAGTACATTATATGTAGGATTTTTTGTTACAATTTATAATAATGAAGAAAATTAATAGTAATACCAAGGCATATAAACAATTTCTTTAAAATAAATTAAGTAAAGATTTATAAAACTTAATTCCTTGTAAAGTTACTATGTTTTTTACTTACAGAATCATATTTTAACGAATTAAGAAAATTTAAAATTTTACGAAATATTAAAAAAATGCAATGCCTTACAAATCTTAAAAGATAATATAAAATAAGTAGCTATTTCATTGCACAAAATACCAACTCTAAGAAATATAGAGTCGCTAAGAAATTGAAATGCAAACAAGCTATTAACTTTAAAGAAAAAGTCGAAGAAAATATTAACAAGGTACAACTTTTAAAAATAACTTGTAGGGATTTTAAAGATGGAATGAATTGTAAAAAAGAATTGACAAAAAAAATTGCAACATTTTTTACAAAAGAAAGATTGTAAAAAAATAACTTAAGATTTCTTAATTATACCTAGAGCAACAACTAAACAAGAACGTCTGGACGAATAGTTTGCCTTTATTAATTTTAATTTTTTTTAGTAAATTTATATCTTAATTAATAATTTAATCATTTTTTAATATTTTTTTTTAATCAGAAAAAGAGGGATGACAATATGTTTGTGTCTCAGCTGTGGAAACGCATGACACTATAACAAACAAAGGCGTCTTCTAAGTTCATTCTGGTATACACATGAAATATAATACCTTACCATAATATGGTTGTTATCATATGCAAAATTCAAAGTGCATTTGCTTGTCGTGCGTATACGTTTATGTACTTTGATAGTCTTATGATATATAAATTTAGCAGTTGTTCACGAGTTAGTCTGCGAGGAATTATAAAATCTAGTAATATAGCACACGGGGATAGTGTAGTTAACAGTGGAAGAATTTTTCAAATCGTTTCAGTAGTTTCGGAGCATATGCAAACATATGTTTATTTGTGAGTATAAATTTTGTAAAATAAGCAACGAATAACGGTAAGAAGCTAGGTAACGCCTACAAAATAGATTTTAGACATTTGCGTCCCGGAAGCCAAAATTAGTCCTCTTTCCCTTCCCACCCTTTTTCTTATAAGGAAAGGATGGGAAGTGGAAGTGGACTTTCCGGATGAGAGGATGCATGGAAAGGGAAAATACTTTCTTTCTGTGCATCCTCTCCCCCGTCGATTAAGGGTAGGCAACGCATATGCAATTGCGTATGTCTGTGAGCAACGGTCACTTCGCTATTTCAGCGATTTCGGGTGGCCGTTCGCTCGTATGCCAACTTATGATTTAAAAAAAACTTATTATTAAAATATTTAACTGTACAAAAAATTAGATTCAATTGTATTTCTTAAAGACAGGCGTAAACGTTTGAATGTGAAAATTAAATGATTGTAATAAGAGTGACATGCTCGTAAATATGAATAGCGAGCGTTGGTGATAAATGCACTTTTATATTGCAACATAAATCTTTTACTCGTGTTATAGTAGTCATTATTCTTATATCTGTTTGTATCCTAAGAGATATAGCGATTTATTATCATTTCCAATATTAACATTGTAAAACAATATTAATCTTATTTCTTACTAATATTACAAATTAGAATGTTTGGATGGATGTTTGTTAGAAGGTATCGCCTAAACTGATAAATTGATTTTGATGAAATTTAGCACAGATGTAGAATATAGTCTGGAAGAACACATAGGCTACTTATTCAGTTTTTTTTTTAACCCGCGCGGACAGAGTCGCAGGCGACAGCTAGTTAAATTATAACTGAACGAATTCTAATTAAAATTACTTTTAATATTCTCTAAGTTTGTTGTGTGATAGAAAATCGTGAATCAAATTTATGACAAGAGAAAAGTATTTATCTGAAACATTTCTTCAGACGTTTTATTTCGAGTGGAATTCAAGATAAAAACTTGGAAAGTGAGATCCTACGCTGGACCTTTCCTTGTAATTTATGGATATTTAAAACAACTACTTACAACTTGTACTAACAGTGTGACTTTGTAGATAGCGAGTTTGAAGTTAAGTGTACGAAAGTTTTTTGAAGTCAAGTTCAAATTAATAGTCTTTATATATGCTGGAAATCGGAAATCGAATGTACATTTATCTGAGGTTCTTACGGTGAAGGAAAACATCGTGATGCAACCTGCATATATCTGAGAAGAAATTCAAAGATATGTGTGAAGTCAACCAACACGCACTTGGCCAGCGTGGTTGACTACGGCCCAATTACCCTAAAACTTAGGGTAGGCTCTGAGCCCCTCGGTGGGACGTATAGTGAGCTGATGATGATGATGATGCTGTGTAATGTAACAACGGGTTTGCATTGTCAAATTACATGGATAAAAAACATATTACTCTCCCTATTTTTTTCAAAGAGATGAGAGCGATGACATTATATTGAATCACATGTGTTTCAGAACATTTGTATTGTCTAAAACATAAGCGCCGGATAACGATAATCATATCAGTTGTCATGAGACAGATTTCGAGTGGTTTTTAATACAAGAATTGCGTTAGCAACACAATATATGTAGAGAAGTTTAGAATTAACACACATATCGGTCATAAAACGTACTCTTACATTTTTTATTTTAAATTCGACAATAAAAAGAAGTCTTCTTGCATGTGTTTGTTTAAAAGAAAGAACTGTGGTAAATTCTATCACTTACTCAAACCTTTTGGTAAAAATTAGAGAAGATTGATCTTGGTTTATTTTGAGAATTAAATTGGTTATTTACATTTTACTCTAATCATAGGATTGACAGTTGTTTGGACTTTACGGGAACATAATGCAATAATGGGAAACTGACAGATGAATATTATAACATCAACACAGTCTATCGAACCGAGAATATGAACAGCCCTAAGCAAAAACACTATTATTATCTAGTTAATCTCCAAAGATTTTAATATAATATTTTATGTTTTTAATTACGTTAATACATCAAATGTACAACTAATCTGAACATAAGGATTAAACACGCTGCTTTATACTAATATGTCGATTTTCTTTTGTTATTTTGTAGATTATAAAAACATTACAGCGTTCCACGTAGTTCAATATCTTCAAAGCACTTGAATATTTATTACGTAACGGATTTTCCATGGCTGATTAGATTTAACGATACGGTGTTTCCCATCTGGAAAACTTTCAACCGACGAAATAAATTTTGAGATGGAAGAAACATTTTTTTTATATCATAAGGTGGCAAACGAGCGAGAGGCTACCTGAAATCGCTGAAATAGCGAAGTGACCGTTGCCCATAGACATACCCAATTGCATATGTGTTGCCACCTTTAATCGACGGAGGAGAGGATGCACTTCTGTGCAAAAAATATTTTCCCTTTCCATGCATCCTCTCATCCGGAAAGTCCACTTCCACTACCCATCCTTTCCTTATAAGAAAAAGGTTGGGAACGACAACTAAATTAGGCCTCCGGGATGCACACTCATCAGAGGAAACGCGGAATTGCTACCACTTGACGTCTGTCTTCTGTGTGGTCGTGGTATTTCACCGGGCGAGCCGGGCCTATTCGTGCGTAGATGTTAAAGCGGGCTCTACCACTGTTAACATTACGATGACATAATTCCCCCCTTTTTTTATAATGTAAGTAGTAACCTTGTTCACAGACCCTACTAGAGTGGGATAAGGAGATGATAAAGTAAAAAAATTGTAATATTTTGACATTGAATCTTCTAGAAAGGAATTGATTAATTAGAGAATATGTCGCAATGCATTCCATAGCAATAAGTCGCAACAGTGGCATTGTGACTTCGATAACATGTAAAAGGATTGATAAGAGTTTGATGGACAGTATCACCTTTGATGTATCAGGCAATCATCACACGTTATCTCCGGCTCCTGAGATACTGTGACCTCGATAAAATTGAGCAACATCGATCTGTGATCGCATTTTTGTATCAGATCGCAAAAGAAATACGACGGCTGTAGCGGTCAACATGAACAGTGAGTAATATGGAAACTTCTAGACATAATAACAAGTGGAAATATGTGTACATTTTAAGATTTAAAGTAGCTTTTTTCGGAGCTTTAGAATCTCCTGTTCTTCATCTATTTTATTAAATGAATAGGACATCGTTTTTTATAACTCTATGGTAAAGAAAAGAGCTTGTATCATACTTATTTTGACCTAAAATAATTATATAACCATACTGCAAAAAGTGGATGTTCATCCAAATTACTAAAGCACGTGACTGCGTTCGAAGGTTTGCTCTGCAATCCAAAGTTACCAGTCCAATTGAATTAAAATAGATATGGAGTAGTTGTAACGTATATTGACGCGCATAAGGATTTAATATTATAAGGAAAAGCTCCGTTACCACTTCTTTGCAAATTGCTGAGGCTAGTTATAATCAGAGTCTTGTCTTTCATTTATGGAATTAATTAAATTGGCATGTAAATTGATGATTCCTGACACCATATCATTGAGTTTTGATTTGATTTCCCAATAGCATATGAAGCAGGTCTTAAAGCCTTATGGTTGTATAATATTAAAATATTTTAAAAGATAGTTGGTATTGTTTCTATAGTGTTTGTGAAGTGGGCCTCTGTAAGGAAATATTGAAAGATATGATTATTATCTCAAGTGCTGCCTCAAGCCTCAAAAAAACGTACATGTCACGATAGCTAATATTTGTAATGTATTGCATTTACTTATATAGTTGTATGTTTATTACGTAATTATTTAACAAATCAATTTTCAATTTTAATCATAACTAACTGTCGCCCGCGACTCCGTCCGTGCGGGATTAAAAATAGATGTCGGCCGATCCTCAGACCTACTCAATATGGTCACAAAATTTCATGAGAATCGGTCAAGCCGTTTCGGAGGCGTATGGGAACGAAAATTGTGACACGAGAATTTTATATATAAAATGAATGTTGCTACAAGATTTTTGTCATTATTACTATAGATGCAAATTAAACGAGGTTGTTTTTGGTAACCGTTGATTATTAACTATTTTGGTTGAAGCTTAAACACTGAAATAAATTATCTTTGTCATCCCCCATAGGTATCAAAAGAAAAGTATGATTACATGGATGGATATTTACTAATTCTTGATTGTAACTTCCAGCGGCATTTCTGTTGCTGTGTTGCGCGGCGGCGCTGGGGGGCGCCTCCGCTCTCTCAATCAAATTGAGACAAAATCCGGAGACTCTTTGCCTCGGCCAAGACAACTTCCTACGCATTGCCAGCGTCGACAACTGCTATGACTACTACCAGTGCTATGCAGGCCGTTCCTACCTCATGCAGTGTCCGGAGGAGACCTGGTTCAACGAAGAGGACCAGGTGATTCTTTACTATTAATTTCAGTGCCAAAGTTTATGTTTTGTCAATGAATATACCAGCGCTTGACTATGATCCTATATGATGTTAAGTGATGACTTGCCTTGCAAAATCAGTTTAATACATTAAAAAAATCATTGTGATGTGAAAAGCGTTAAACGCTTTTGTGCCTTAATAGCGAGGAATAATTTTTCAAGTACAATAAATATCAGTAGTCCACGTAACTTGTCAAATCAGCATTTCGAAATGTCATTTAGAAATAAAGAGTGTTCACATCTATATTATTAATAGGTATGCGATCGGTCGGAGCTTCCGGCTAACTGTCGGTCTGAAGGCGAACCAGAGCCGGAACTTGAATCGGAACCAGAAACAGATCCTGAACAAGAAATCGAGCCAGAAGAGGAAGTGGAAGAGGAACCAGAACAGGCGGAGGAAGTAGAAGAGGAACCAGAACAGCAAGAGGAGGAAGAAGAGGCACCTGAACAGGAAGAAGTAGAAGAGGAGCCAGAACAGGAAGATGAAGTAGAAGAGGAACCAGAACAGGAAGAGGAAGTACAAGAGGAACCAGAACAGGAAGAGGAAGTACAAGAGAACTCTGAAACAGAAATAGTACAAGACATCTTACCGGAAGAAGACTTGGATTCTGAAAACGAGCCGGAAGTTTCTCTCCCGGAAGATATTGTTGAGTCAGGTGAATCTCAAGAAGAAGATGTAGAACGTGAAGAGGAGGATGTCGACGCCGAAGAAGAAAATGAAAACGAAGAGGAAGAACAGGAAAGTGAGGAATTAGAAGAAGAAAATGGAGGAGTAGAGGGAGACGAAGAAGTAGACGAGAGTGATGAAGATATAGAGGAAGTTGAAGAAGTAGAGGATGGTGATGAAGAAGTGGAAGGAGATGTCGATGAAGAAGAAGAAGGCGATGAGATTAAAGATGGGGAAGTCGAAGGTGACGATTCTAGCGAAAATGAAGATAGTGCAGAGGTCCTTAAATTGAATTCACAGCAACATCACCATCACCATGTTCACGATCATGACCATCATCATGACCACGACCACGACCACGATCACGATCATGACCACGACCACGACCACGACCACGACCACGCTCATGAACATGACCACGAGCACGATCACGACCACGATCACGATCACGATCACGATCATGACCATGACCATGATCACGGACATGATCACGACCACGACCAGGAACAAGACCAAGAAACAAACGATGATGAGTCCAACGAACAAGTCGATGAAGATTTTGACGCAACACAAGATGATCCTCTGATGAAATTTGTTAAAGCTTATAGGGAGTATAAACTTCAAGAGGAACTAGACTCTGATGAAGAAGAGGAAATCGAAGAACCTCTACGGAATCATCCTCACCCACCTCAACCCCATCATAATTTATATCCATACGGACAGTACCCCGTTAAGCAACAAGAAATAGAAGATGTCGAAAATGAAGAGGAACTAAATGAACAAGAAGAAGAACAACGGGAATTGTCTATGCGTTTCCGACGTTCTCTCCTGAGACAAAATGAAGAGGAAGATGACGATCAAAATGAAGATTTGTTTGAAGAAGAGGCTGATAATCAAGAAGAAGAAAACTTTGTAGAAAACATCAGCGAAAATGATAATGACCAAGATGATGAAGAAGTCTCAAAACGTTTAAGAAAATCTTCAAAGCGACAAAATGAAGACGAAGAAGATGCACAGGATGACGATGATGATGATGAGGATGATAACCAAGACGACGAAGAGGTATCAAAACGTTTAAGAAGATCTTTAAAGCGACAAAATGAAGTAGATGCACAGGATGAAGATGATGATGATGAAGATGATGACCAAGATGATGAAGAAGTATCAAAACGTTTAAGAAAATCTTCAAAGCGACAAAATGAAGACGAAGAAGATGCACAAGATGACGATGATGATGATGAGGATGATAACCAAGACGACGAAGAAGTATCAAAACGTTTAAGAAGATCTTTAAAGCGACAAAATGAAGACGAAGAAGATGCACAGGATGACGATGATGATGATGAGGATGATAACCAAGACGACGAAGAGGTATCAAAACGTTTAAGAAGATCTTTAAAGCGACAAAATGAAGTAGATGTACAGGATGAAGATGATGATGATGAGGATGATGACCAAGATGATGAAGAAGTATCAAAACGTTTAAGAAAATCTTCAAAGCGACAAAATGAAGACGAAGAAGATGCACAAGATGACGATGATGATGATGATGAGGATGATAACCAAGACGACGAAGAAGTATCAAAACGTTTAAGAAGACCTTTAAAGCGACAAAATGAAGATGATGAAGATGTACAGGATGAGGACGAAGATGATGATGTTGAGGACCAAGATGAGGAAGAAGTGTCAAAACGTTTAAGAAGATCTTTAAAGCGACAAAATGAAGGTGAAGAAGATGCACAGGATGAAGATGATGATGTGGAGGACCAAGATGATGAAGAAATATCAAAACGCTTACGAAGATCTTTGAAGCGACAAAATGAGTCAGAGGAGGATGAGGAGAATGAAGATGATGAAGCTGATGAGGAAGAAGAAGAAAATGCCGGAGAAGAAGAAGATGTTGATGACGAAGCAGATGAAAATGAAGAAGACGACGATGAAGGCCCCAAAAGACAAGATGAAGTAGAGGAAGACAGCGAGGAAAACGACGACAATGAGGATAACGACGAAGATGATGAAACGAATGATGATGATGATGATGGTGATGATGATGACGAGGATGATGATGATGATGAGGAAGAAGCTGTAGTAGCTGAGAGCAAGCGGTTCCTTAGTCGACTTTTTAAGTCATTAGGACTTTAGACGTTGGCGTCTTAATTTCAAACACATTTTATAGAAAAGTGAAAGTTTGATTTATTGTAGGAAGTTAGGAGAAAATAATTTATTTATAATTAAGTTCGAGTAGGCTTTTATGTAGCAACACTTTGTGCAATTTTGTAAATATGCTGCAGTGCGAATGAAATAAAGTTGTTTAAGAATTTAAGAGTTTTATTTACGACTAACTTTAAATAAAGTAAACGACAACCAAACTGTAATGTGTTTTGCTACAATAATATTTAATTATAGACGTTTCTTTTGCTAGCTTTTACTCGCGACTTTGTCGCCTTGAAATTTAAAAAAGTAGTATTATTACCTTAAACATCACATACCTTCTTGTAAAAATCTCGTCAAAATCGGTCCAACTGACATGGATTTATGACATGGAACAAACGCTAGCACATACAAACAATTTTTTTCTTTCAACATTTCATATAGATACTCCAATTTTATTAACTAGATAGATTAATTAGAGAAGTCGATTAGGAGTGTTTAAGTTTGTTAACTTTGACTAGGTTTCAAGGAATTATTATACTTAGTTTAAAACAAGTTATGACCAATTAAAACTCATTATAAAGGGATATAGTTGGCGAAAGATATTTGCATAAAGTTATTATGTACATCTTACACGCTTAAATATTCAGAATATAATTTGACTAGAAATCTTCACTTACAAGTGGTTTAGGATCAATGAAATCTACACTAAAGAACTGATTAAGTAACTATTAAACCACTTTTATGCAGTAGAAAATCTGTTTCTCGTGAACTAGTAATTTAGAGTAAATCGCTTGTTTTAGCGGCTGGAGATAACTAACTCAAAACGCGACTAAATATGTTACGTGGGTACTTCATTAAAAATACATTAGGGTTGCCAAAGTAAAACATTAAAGTTTTTATAAATGTACAAAGTCTATTTAAAAAAGAAATAGGTCGTCCATCAAATAAAATACACATAATTTTAAAAAAGATAAAATATTTCTATTAACCATTACGCGATACTTCAAATTAAATCAATGATGTAATTCCAAATTCAAATGTTTCGTTTTTAAAATACCATCGTAAACATCGCGTACGAAACATAAATCCTCTTTTATACTTTACGTGGGAAATCAAATATAATCTTAGCATAATAGCATTATATCTTAAATATATGTTATATTTCTCAGAATTCACGTAACGCAGTTTCCACGTCAACATAAAACCTACAACAATACAAAAGATTGCAAAAAAAACGTTAACACATTACGTGAATATAATATTAAATAAAATATTAAAAACGAATTACCTAAAATATATTATTGGAAGGAGTCCCTTTGGGCAAGTTCCGAAAATACTGGCAGCGTTCCCTCTTTGAATAGCTAAACTAACGTGAATATTATGTTTATAAATTAGGAAAACTCAAATATAATGAAAGTTAAAAATTGTATTCACAAATTTCACTGGCTGATAATGAAATTTTTTGTTTATGGATATTTTGGAATATTTTAGTGTTTGAATTGATGACACAAATATCATCAGGTTACTTCTTGTCTGGGATTATCTTTATATATATAATTCTTCTGTGAGTGTGTATGTCACTGAACTTCTCTCAAACCACTGGACCGATTTTCATGAAATTTTTTGTGTGTGTTCAAGGGTATCTGGGAATGGTTTAGATTCACAATTTTGTCCGCTGGACAATGATTTTTAATTTATTAGTAGTTGTTGATTTTGGAATGTTTTACATTGGATCCGACAGACGGCGCTACCATCGCAGTGTCAAATTTTAAATAATATTCGAATTAAAGACGTGTAGACAGGACAACGTCTGTCGCGTCCGCTAGTAGTCTTATAAAGGTAAAATTGTTTGCATAGGTTTTGTTATAATTTCTTATTTGCAAATTCAACGACCACGGACAAACAGAACAAATAAATTATTTTTACGTAAACTTTAAGGTTGAGACTTTCTATTATGGCGTTTTTAGGTCTTGTAGTTGTCGAATTTCAAAATTATCACATCCGAATTTTCAGAGTTGCGATAATTTATAAATATGAATACAACTACACTTCACTCTTTATATAGTGAAAGTGATCAATTGAGGCGCTTAATACGTTATATTTATGAGGACAGTACTCAAATGATGGTTCTAATAAACAATGGTTATAAAGACATAGTAAGTTTCATATACTGCAACGTAATATCAAGCTGTAACAATCGATAAAAATATAAGTATACAAAGATATAATCATCAACCTGACCTTATTCCTATGAAGGGTCGATACAGTAACTCCTCCATACATCTCTATCAGCCGTCATATCTGAATCTACTCCTTTCTTACGCATATCCTCCTTCAGACAATCCATATCTGTTTTGGTCTTCCTCTACACATTCAATCTAATTATTTTTTTTTGTTTCAAGTCTTTTTCCAAATAGTGGACCTTTAAAATATTTATATTTCTATCTACATTTTACGATCTCCCTTCTTCGTATATATAATGTGAAATTAATATTATTCTAAATGCTAACCTACATAAATACATGAGTGAACTACATGTATAAGCTATTTCCGCAGAGCTACATAAATAGTACAAATTTCAAACCTTATCCATGAAACCTTACTCATTTCCAACTCGACCGAGTCAACACTAAGTTAATTTAGTGCTTGCAAACTCATTCAACAAGTTTCAAAAGAATCTCTAAAAGGGAAGTAAGGACCCATTCACTTTATCGCCTAGTTTTAAATCATTCTGTAGTTGTACATTTTAAAAGGACACTTAGATATATTTGATTAAAGGTACATATTACTTAGAAAAAGAGGCACTTTTTCCCGCAAAAGTTGCTTGAAAATTTTCTTTTGAAATTAAATAGTTGTAATCGAATTCTTCGAAGATATCTAGCATTATCAAATAATTAGTCTATTTTAAATTAATTTAATAAAGTTACACCTGTATACTCTCAAGTTTTTGTTAACATAATTACAGAAACAAAGTAATTAAGGTATTCTGTAACTCACATGTTACGCTTCTAAGTTGTAAGTAAATCAATCACTTGAACATTGGTAACATTCGTATTTCAACGCAACAGGTCTTCGTCAGAAGATTGATCGTCTTTTTTGTATACACCTGTTGCTACAAATGCCTATAGCTCTTGAACTAAGTACGTCATTATGCGGTCAAATGACGGAGGTCAACTAATGACCTTTGTACATTTGCGTGAAGTGCGTCGGTAGCTCAGGGGTTTCAGCACTTGACTTGTAATCTGCAGGTCTTGGGTTCGAACCCCGCCATGTACCAATGTGTTTTTTTCGATTTTCATATGTACTTTTATCCGACGTTCTTACGGTGAAAGAAAATATCGTGATGCAACCTGCACATATCTGTAAAGAAACTACAACATATGTGTAAAGTCCACCAACCCGTACTGGGCCAGAAAGGTTGAGTATGGCCTAGTACCCCCTACCTTAGGGTAGGCTCCGAGGCCATATAGTGAGCTGATGATTACATTTAAGGAGTTTATTTTAAAGGGGTTAGTGAGAATATAGTCACAAAATTACCACCTTGTCTGTGAAATTTACAAGCTAAGTACCACAATATTTTTGTGGTAGTGAACACCCTTTTTGCTTATATTCCTAGTAATAAAAATGCATATTAAATAGAACATTTTTATTAGGAATATAATTTTAATTTAAACGGGAACGATTTCCTTAGTGGCCGTTTTCTCAGCAGTGTTATTATAGTATCTCTTCATTTTGTAAAATAACTCATTATGTGGTCGTTTAATGAAATAACATAGCGAACGCTGTCTTTATTTAAAGAAATACGTAAAACTTCAAATGCAATGTGCTTAAGTGCAATCAATACAATTGTCCCAACACATATTTTGCAGAGTTTAAGTCAATATTTGCGGATCCTTGAACAAAGGGTCTTAGTATTGATTCACTGTTACATATCGAGACTCAATTGCTGAAGTTACCTTTTAGCGCAGAAGTGTAATATATGTTATTACATAATAACAAATTTTGTTTAAAATGTATGATCATCATGCCCTTATCCCTATGGAGGGTCGGCATATTATATACTATTCCTCCATACATCTCTATCAGCCGTCATATCTGAATCTACCACGTTACTACGCATATCCCCTTTCAAACAATCCATCCATACTTTGAATTGTCCTCTACCTTAATAGCTACATTCAATCTGTTAAGTTTAAAATGAAGATATGTTGTATAAATATTTTGTTAAGTATTAGCTTTTAGTAATAGATTTTTTTTTACTAATATTTCTTTAACCATTCCAACTAAGCTAGGCTTGTGCTAGGATATGGTTTACGACAGTAGTCGAATGGCAGGATTCGAACCCCCGACCTCGTGATCGGAAATCCGTACATTTAACCATTAGGCTATTGACGCTTGACTACATTGACTACATATTTGTTGTATATTTTTTGGAACATAATAGAAACTAACGATAGTGTCCGCTTCGACCGGAACACGCATTGATTCGATCAAACTCGACAACTATTTTCAATGACAAAAGGGCATTTTGGGTACAAGCGACCACAAAACATGAATGTAGCTTTAAATCAAACCAAAACTATTGCAAAATTAAAGATTCCTTCCTTATAATATTGATAGTTAAATTGTTCAAGATATCTTTGAAGTGTATTACAAGGAAAAGCGACATTTACATAGTTTATAAGAAAAGGACAAAATATAATTAACTATCTTAATAATAGCAGAGCCAACAAATGAATGCAATTCCTTGTTTAGTCTGAAAAGTCCCATACGGATGGGAAGGCGTCAACGATTTGGCAGAGGAATAGACTAGAAACATTCTTTTACTGTACATTCTCTCTTTTGGCTTTTAAGGGTAGGCAAAGCATTTGCGTCCTTAGTTTGTCAGATTCAAGTAACACGACATCACAGCAGCAACCAGCCTCGCGTCAATTAAAAATAGATTAAAATTACTACTCATCAAGAAAGCCAGAAAGAAATTCGTCACATGAAGAATTTTTTGATTGATTTTTTTTTGTAACTTATACTCTTATGACCTGTAATTTAAAAATTAATAATAAATTGCATTGTATATTGTGTTGATATATTCAATGGTCACTTCGCTATTTCGACATATAAAGGTTGATGCTTGTACATTTGTCACCTTCCAATAGTATAAAAAGGT